ATTTTTTTGAACAGTTTTAGGTTTACAGGAAGTTGAGCAGAGAATACAGAGAGTTCCCATATATCCACCCCTCCAATACACACAGTTTCCCCTATTATTAACGTCATGCATTAGTGCGGTACATTTGTTACAGCTGATGAAACAATATTGATATGCTATTATTAACTAAGTCCATAGTTTACATTAGGGTTCTCTCTTTGCGTTGTACATTCTTTCGTTTTGACAAACGTATAGTGACAAGTATCCACCATTACAGTATCATAAAAAATATTTTCACTGCCCTAAAATCCCCTGTGCCCCTCCTCTTCATCCTGAGCCCCAGAGCCCCTGTGCCCCTGGCAAACACAGATCTTTTACTCTCCTTATAGTTTTACTTTGTCCAGAATTTCATACAGTTGGAATCATACAGTATGTAACCTTTTTAGACTAGGTTCTTTCACTAAGCAATATGCATTTAAGATTCCTCCATGTCTTTTTGTTATTTGATAACTCATTTATTTTTATCACTAATATTTCATTGTATGGATGTACCACAATTTGTTTATCCATTTACCTTTTAAAGCACATCTTGGTTGCTTCCAGTTTTTGGCAATTATGAATAAAGATGCTGTAAGCATGTATCCAAAATAAATGAGTCTTCATGGATATAGAGAACAGACTGTGGTTGCCAAGGGGGAGGGGGTTGGGGGAGAGATGGAGTGGGAGGTTGAGGTTAGCAGATGTAAGCTGTTACATATAGAATGGATAAACAACAAGGTCCTACTGTATAGCACAGGGAACTATATTCAATATCCTATGATAAACCATAATGGAAAAGAATATTTTAAAAAGAATGTATATATATGTATAACTGAATCACTTTGCTGTACAGCAGAAATTAACACAACATTTTAAATCAACTACACTTCAATAAAATAAATAAATAAACAAAATAAATGAGTCTTAAAAGTCAACAATAAGAAACCAAACAACCCAACTTAAAAATGGGCAAAAGAGCTGAACAGACACCTCACCAGAGAAGATCTACAGATGTCAAATAAGCATATGAAAAGATGTTAAACATCATATATCATTAAGGAATTTCAAATAAACATGAAATACCTCTTCATTTATTTAGACTACTTTGATTTCTTTCATCAACATTTTGTAGTTTTCTTCATATACCTCTTCATATAGCTAAGTATTTTGTTAGATTTATTCCTAAGTACTTCTTTTTTTTTTTTTTTTGGTGCTAATGTAAATGGTGTTGTGTTTTTAATTTCAAATTCCGCTTGTTCATTGTTGGTATATAGGAAAGCAATTGACTTTTGTATATTGATCATGTATCCTGCAACCTGGCTATAATTGCTCATTAGTTCCAGGAGGGCTTTTTGTCGGTCCTTTGGGATTTTCTGCATAGACAATCATGCCATCTGCAAAATGGGCAAAAGATCTGAACAAACACCTCACCAAAGAAGATTTTTTTTTTCCTTCCCAATCTATATATCTTTTATTCTCTTTTCTTGCCTTGTTGCATTAGCTAGGACATACAGTACAATGTCGAAAATGAGTGGTGAAAGGGGACATCTTCGCCTTATTCCTGATCTTAATTGGAAAGTTTCTAGTTCTAGTTTCTCACCATTAAATATGATGTTAGCTTTAGGGTTTTTATAGATGTATTTATCAGGTTGAGGAAGTTCCCCTCCATCCCTAATTTGCCAAGAGTTGTTGTGGTGGTTTGGTGGTTTGTTAATTTATCATGGGTGGGTGTTTAATTTTGTCAAATGCTCTTTTTGCATCTACTGATATGATAATGCGATTTCTCTTCTCTACGCTGTTGATGTGATGGATTACATTAATTGATTTCTAAATGTTGAACCAGCCTTGCATACCTAGAATAAATCCCACTTGACTGTGGTGTATAACTCTTTTTATACATTACTGGATTCAATTTGCTAATATTTTGTTGAGGATTTTGCATCTATGTTCATGAGAGGCCTGCAATTTTCCTGTTTTGTAATATCTTTATCTGGTTTTGCTATTAGAATAAGTTTGGCCTCACGGAATGAGCTGGGAAGTGTTCTCTCTTCTTCTATTTTCTGGAAGAGATTATAGAGAACTGGTATCATTCTTTCCTTAATGTTTGATAGAATTTATCAGTGAACCCATCCAGGCCTGGTGCTCTCTACTTTGGAAGGTTATTCATTATTGATTCAAATTCTTTACTAGATATGAGTCTATTCAGAGTATTTATTTCTCCTTGTGTGAGTTTCAGTAGATTGTGTCTTTCAAGGAAATGGTCCACTTCATTAAGTTATAAAATCTGTGGGCATAGAATTATTCATAATATTCCTTTGTTATCCCTTCAGTGTCCATGAGATCAGTAGTGATGCCATCGCTTTCATTTCTGATTTTAGTAATTTGTATCTTCTCTCTTTTTTTCTTGGTTATCCTGCTAGAGGTTTGTCAATTTTATTGATCTTTACAACAAAAAAAAAAGCTCTTTATTTTGCTGATTTTCTCTGTTGTTTTCCTGCTTTTTATTTCATTCATTGCTTCTTTTCTTCTGCTGTGGTAGGCTTATATTGCTCCTCTTTCTCTAGTTTCATAAGGTGGAAGCTTAGATCCTCTTTTCAAATGTGTGCCTTCAATGCCATATATTTCCCTCCAAGCACTGCTTTCACTGCATCTTGCAAATTTTCACAGGTTGTATTTTCATTTTCATTTAGCTCAAGATAAATTTTTATTTCCCAGGAGACTTCCTCCTTGACCCATCTGTTATTTAGAAGTGTGTTGTTTAATCTCCAAATATTTGGGGATTTTCCAGCTGTCTTTCTGGTATTGGTTTCTAGCCTAATTCCGTTGTGGTCTGAAAACATACTTTGCATAATTTCTACTCTTTTAAATTTGTTGAGGGATATTTCGTGGCCTGGAACGTGGTCTGCTTAGTGAGTGTTCCATGTGAGCCTGAGAAGGATGTGTGTTGTTGTGGGATGAAGTTGCGTGGTTGCCAGTTAGATCCAGATGACGATAGTGCTATTCAGTTCAACTTCATTCTTACTAATTTTCTGCCTGGTGGATCTGCCCATTACTGACAGAGGGCTGTTGAGGTCTCCAGCTACCATGATGGATTCATCTGCTTCTCCTTGCAGTTCTTTCAGCTTTTGACTCCCATACTTTGATGCTCTATTGTTGGGCACATACAATGAAGGATTGTTATGTCTGCTTGGAGAATCGACCCCTTTATCACTATGTATCGCCTCTCTTTATCCCTGATAACTTTCCTTCCTCTGAAGTTGGCTCTGCCTGAAATTAATAGAGCTACTCCTGCTTTCTTCTTGTGTTTCAGTATTTTAAGTGCCAAAGTGTTTGGTAGGAATTTGCAAAGTGGGTAAAGGCACAGTCATTTGAATCAGGCAAACCTGGGAACAAGCCAAGCGAGTCAAACTGGGCACACTTAATCATTCTATGCCTCAGTTTCCTCATCTAAAAAATGAGTAACTATTGGACCTACTGTACAGCACAGGGAACTATATTCAATATCTTGTAGTAACCTGTAATGGAAAAGAATCTGAAAAAGAATAGATATTATATATATGTATAACTGAATCACTTTGCTATACACCTGAAACTAACACAACATTGTAAATCAACTATACTTCAATAAAAAATTAAATTTTTTTTAAATGAGGAAGTATCCCTTTGAATTATTGTGAAGATGAAATGGGATAATGCAGTAAGCACTTAGCAAATTTCCTGGCATTTGTGTAATTGCACATAATGTGTAATTAATATATTCTACTAATATATGCGGTTATATTATTATCTATTCATATAATATAAGCTATTGGTTATAATTATATTGTGGGACGTTAGTATAGATTTCTAAGTCCAAGTACTCTCTATGAAAGCTGGATGAGGCACTCTGAGAAGAGTAACTTAGAAAATAATTGCAAAGTCTCAGGCTGGAGTGGATGGCTCATAGGCAGTGCCCTGAGAAGACAGAAGACTTCACACGTGCCCTGCAGCCCATAGTACAGGGCGCCGGGGCCAGGGAAATGTGATATTTCCTCCTTGGTGCCGAGTTTTGCGCATTCTTCTTATTAAAGTGGTTACACAGGAGGTTTCTGACCCCACTGACAATTCACTGTCTGGGGTCTCTCTCTTTTGGGGGAAATGTGGTCACACCAGGGCCCCTATTGAAAAATAGATCATCTTTGGTTAGATAAATCCTGATAAGCTTTTAAGAAGCAACAGTAATAATTAATCACATGGGAAAAACCTTCATTGTACACCAAGGCTTTTAAAAGGTAGTTATAAAACTATGTTTTGTGGTGTGAGCTCAATTGTGTTTAAACTTTTTAAAAAGATTGTAAGCATAGAAAAAAGACTGGAAGGATGTGAACCATCGTGTTCACAGTGCCTGCCTCTGGGGGACGGGAGTCTAAGTGATTTTAATGTCTTCTTTGTGTTTTTCTCTAGTTCTCATTTTCTGCATTATTACCAAAAAAAATGTTATTTTAAAAATGAATAGAACAAACAAATGAAAACAACAGTTATTACAAAACCTCCCCTTAACTTTAACACTTGCAATAAATGGACAGTTGTCACTTGCCAACTGACCTTTCTGGTTTGTGTTGGGCCATTTCTGCTGTCTTGCCATTCAGGACAACCAAAAGGATACTTGCATGGGATCAGAGAACTATAAAGTGGCCAATTCCCCCCGAGTTCCCTCTTACCTCTGTGTTGCCTGACTCCCTACCCAAAAACTGGGCATCTATTCTGGGTCTGCTGTCAGGGTCTGGTGACCCTCCACTCACTAGCTGTGTGGCCTTAGGCAAGTCACTTAACCTCTCTGACCCTCAGCATCCTCCTCTTAAAATGAGGATTGCAGTGACCATCCAGCCAGATGAAGTGGTTAGCACATTGGGGCACCCAGTGTCAGTGGCACTAGTAAACATTAGGACCCCCCTTGTTATTCCTGTTTCCCTGGCTCTGACTGTCCCCCTTCTCCATTTCAGTCTGCAGACATCGACAACCATCACGCGCTCATTGAATATAATGAGGCCGAGAGCAGCTTTGTTCTCCAGGACTTCAATTCCCGCAACGGCACATTCGTCAACGAGTGCCACATTCAGAACGTGGCTGTGAAGCTCTTACCCGGAGACATCCTGAGGTTTGGGTCCGGAGGGCTGACCTATGAACTGGTCATCGAAAACCCAGCCTCGGTGAGTCCAGGCCCCTGCGGGGAGGGGGTGGGGTGCAGAGGCGCCGTGTTGTGTCACCTTCCGTGCAGCCTAGAGCTCAGATACGGCCACAGGTGGAGTTTGTCTGGAGCGCGTCGTTCTGCTTTCGCGATTCCGCGAAGTTCAGACCCATCGCGTGGGTGCCGGGGGAGAGCGAGTCCTCGCGCCCTCTTCTGGGCATTTCGTGGAATTACATGCAAGAGTTGCCTAGCGACCAGCCCGGAGCGAGAGCATTTTCCTGAAAAGGGAAGCTTGGCGAGGGGAGGTGGAAAGCAGGTGTGTGCTTTTGAAGATGCAGAGATGGATGCTTCCTTTTTAGGCAGATCAGTGCTCTGCAACTTCCTAGCTTTGCGGCCTCGGCCAGGGTTCTCTGCATGCCTGGGTCTGGGTCTTCTCAGCGGTGCAGGGCGTTGAGAGAGTATCTATGTGTAAAAAGTCAAAGTCTCTGGCGGGAGTAGGCGCTCGAGGCCTGACAGCTGTTATCACATCGGATCAGAAAGGTTCCCGGGATCAGGACCTAAAGTATGGCCCCAGGTTAAGCGGAACGTAACCCAAAACTCGCCCAGCAAAGCTCAGTCACAAGAAGTGTCTGGTTCAGTAGGGAGGAAGGATGGGGGCTGGTTAGCAACACAGTCCTGGGTCAGAGCCCCAGCTCTGCCACTGGCCTACTCGGTGTGCTCTTGCACAAGCCATTGGACCCCTCGGAACCTCGGTTTCCTCATCTACAAAATGGGGCCAACGACAGCAATGACCTTGCAGGCTTATCTCGAGGGCTAAATGAGATGGTTATCATTGTAAAACTCCCAGAATAATGCCCATTCGTGGTAAGCACGCAATTAATACCTGCCATGTGTGTCCCAGAGAGGCGGTGTGTTAACCTCACTCGCCAGCCCAAGAACGCTGCATGGACTGAGACCTCCGAGGCTTAAAATCCTTTCTGGGACGAGGCTGGGTATAAATAAATAAAGTTTAGGGAATCTAGACAGAATCCTGGGGTGTGGGTCCCCTAGGCAGCCCTAAATACTCACTCAGAGAAGACCAGCAGCATCCCTCAGGCCACAGGGCCCGTGACGCCGCATCCACCACGTTTGGCTTTGAAAATCTGGGGCAGTTTTCTCCCGCGGCTGCTCAGACCCATTTTCCTCCTTGGACCAACATTAAAGTGTGCTCACTCGTGGGATGCACTGGGGTCCACTGGCCTCCCTGAGGAGGGGCTCCTGACCCAGCAGGTGTTGACATGATCAGGGACTCTCAACATGGGTTCTAAGGATCCCCCTCATCAGAACCACGTGGGGAGCAGACCAACAGTGCAGGTCTGGGCTTCACCCCAGGCCTGAGGACTCATACTTAGGATTCCCAGATGAAATACAGGACACCCAGTTAAATCTGAATTTCAGATAGCAACAAATAATTTTTATGTACCGGTGTGGCCCAAATATTGCAAGGAACCACTTATGCTAAAAAAATTATTTGGTGTTTATCTGAAATTCAGATTTAACTGACACCCTATAGTTTATTATCTATTTATTTATTCACTTATTTATTTATGCGAAATCTGGCAACCATACACATCCTCCCTGGGAGAGGGGCCTGGGAATATGCATTCTCACAAGCTCCCTGATGATTCTGATTCCCAATAGTAGGGAAACCCAAATTTAGAATCATTTGTATGGAACACTTACAGAATTGTTTAGGGATCAAAGAAAAGGGGATTTCAAACTCCCAAGCCTGAAAGTCCCAGTTCGCGAAGTTTGATTCAATGTGCCCCAACATGTCTGATTACAAGAATTTTTCAGGAGTGTTCAGGAAAATTACAGGTTCCCAGGCCCCCTCCCTGGGAAGTTCTGACTTTGTGGCTTTGCCCGTGGGGGGAAGAAGAGGGGGAGCAGCAAATAATATCTGCATTTTTTTCTTTTTTTTTTTCCTACAAAGATATTTATTGAAATATTATTTATAGGGGCATAACATTTGAAACCTAAATTTCCATCAAAAGGGGGCATTGTTAATAAATTATAAGGAGTTCGTTTATATATGGAATACTGTTCTGCCCTTTGAAAACACAGCTTTATTGAGATACAGTTGACATGCAATAAACGGCACAGGTTCCAAGTCCGTAAGTGGATGGGCTTTGACATATGTGTACACCTGGGAAACCGTAGCCACAATCAAGACAGTGAACAGCTCCTTCATCCTCCAAAGTCTCCTCCAATCACAGCACGTGTTGTTTGCTTGCTTGCTCTTAACAGCTTCACTGAAGCACAATTTACAGAAACTTCACCCATTTTAAGTGTCCAATTCAGTCAATCTTAATACATTTACGGAGCTGTGCAGCCATCACCACAACCTGCTTTCAGAACATTTTCATCCATTTCTATCACCCCAGACCTCGGAGAAACCTTGGAGGTACTTCACTTGGGGGTTTGTTTTTAACTTTTAATTTTCAAAATTGTGGTAAAATACACATAAAATTTATCATCTTAACCACGTTCAAGTGTACAGTTCACAGTGGCATTAAATCTATTCACGCTGTCATGCAGCCGTCACCCCCATCCATCTCCAGAACTTTGTTCATCTTCCCAAACTGAAACTCTATGCCCATCAGATAAAACCCCCTGCTTCCTTCCTCCCCTCCCACCGTGCTTTCTGTGTCTGTGAATTTGACTATTCTAGGTGCCTCATATAAATGGGATCTTACATTGTCCTTTTGTGACCATCTTATGTCACTTAGTATGATGTCCTCATGGTTCATTCCAGCTGAATAACATTTCATTGTATGGATTTTGTTTATCTGTTTATCTGTTCATCCATCCATTTTGTTTATCTGTTCATCCATCCATGGCCATTTGGGTTGCTTCCACCTTTTGGCCATTTTGAGTAAGTTTGTCATGAACATGGGTGTACAGATATGGAATGGGGACTTTAGTTGACAAGGTGCTTCTTATATAATTGTGGGAAACAGTGCTGACGACCTCTAACCTTGAGTAGATAAGACGGAAGAAGATGCTTTGTAAGAGCGGCAGGAGGAATCACTGATGTGAACAGCTAAGCGACTCACCTGCCTTCCCTTATTTCACGCTCACAGCAACCCATGAGATGGGTTCTCCCGTGATCCCCATTTTACAGACAAGGAATCCGAAACTCAGAGAGGTTAAGTAATTTCCCCAGGGCCACACAGCTAGTCAGTGCAAATTAAACACTATCCCCACTTGCGGAAAAAGGAGGGGAGAAAACCATTTAGCCTGATGCTAGCTGGAGCAGTAGCCTTGACTGGTTTTCACACAGAGGAAAGCATACTCTCACGGTCACTCGAATATACACGGATTTTTTCAATTCTTATTCAATACACGTACTTGCACGTTGCTTCATTCCTCGGGTGACTGCAGGCAGCAGCACAAGTGTTGCCCTGGCCTGTGCCCAGGGCACTTTGCAGGACTCTCCCCAACCCCATCTTCTCAAAAGTGCTCTCTGCCGGGGCGTCCCCAGCTTGAGAAGCTTCCATCCGTGACGCACTTATTCATGGAGGGGCCCTTTGCAGGGCCCGCGTGAGGGCGGCCTGTGGACTGACTGACACGTTCCTACAAATTCCGCTTCCTGATGACCCCAACCTGCTGGCTGTTTAAAAGAAGAGAGAGGGCTTCCCTGGTGGCGCAGTGGTCGAGAGTCCGCCTGCCAATGCAGGGGACACGGGTTCGTGCCGCGGAGCGGCTGGGCCCGTGAGCCATGGCCACTGAGCCTGCGCGTCCGGAGCCTGTGCTCCGCAACGGGAGATGCCGCAACAGTGAGAGGCCCGCGTACGGCAAAAAAAAAAAAAAGAGAGAGAGAAAGAAAGAGGGGAAAAAGGGAGAAATATTGAAGAGCATCTCTCATCAAATATTTTGAAGCCCAATTTTTCTAAGAAATTCGTGGCAAAAAAAAAAAAAGAGAAAGAAAGAGGGGAAAAAGGGAGAAGTATTGAAGAGCATCTCTCATCAAATATTTTGAAGCCCAATTTTTCTAAGAAATTCGTGGCCCTCTTGCTTCCGGCATGTTCTTGTTTCCAATTGATTTTGGGGTCCCTGGTGAGGGCGCTGTGTTTCCTCCTCGGGTGGAGTTTCCACGGAGGACTGCCCTGCTCTCATACAGCTTAAGTATGATGAGAACTTAACCGACAAAGAGTTCCCAAATGAAAGCACTTATTTCAGGTTTTGTGGTGACCATAACCAATAGAGGAGGGTGTGACAGCGTTTTATTGGGGGAGGGGGGTGAGGTGCGGGGCGGTTAGGAATCCAGATGTGTTCGCAGGTGTCACAGTGGTTAGAGCACGTGCCCTGAGGTCAGGCTGACTCCAGCGCCGTCCCAGCCCTGCTCTTGTACTGGCTTTTATACTGGACGTGCACAAATCGTGTGCCCCTCAGAGCCTCGGTCCCCACTCCTGTAACAATAGTTCCTACCACCTGAGTGACCGTGGTATTCAGTGCGCAAAGTACGTAAATTGCTTAGTCCAGCGTCTGGCACCTAATAAGCACATGATAACCCTCAGCTTTAGAGTCAAGCAGCCCAGCATGGAGCAGCCAGGATGCCTCCTTTGTACGTGTCCTTCTGGACAGGGGAACCTCCCCAGACCTGCCCCCACTAGCACATAAATACATTTGCGGATAAATTACCCATAGAACTACATACAAGATGGAAAAATATAAAGAAAAACTCTTGTTTGACAAAGTACACTGGCAGCCAGGATGTGCCCAGGACCATACTTTGTACATCATAGCTCTCTCATCAAAGTATTAGCTAGGGCTGCCATATTGCACAACCCCAGGGTCACCATTCACAACGTGGTCCATGTGGATGGCGCCCACTGAAGCTGTGCAGGACATAACCCGCAGGGCCGTTTGCAATGCCCTGAAGCAGCCGTTGATTGATACCATAGAGTCTTGGCACCAGGTGTGGGAAATTGAAGTCATAAGGTCAGGTGTGCCTGCCGTATTGTGGGTTTTGTTTGTTGT